AGAGGAGAGGAGAGGAGAGGAGAGAGGAGAGAGAGTGCGTTTACTTACCATGGGAACAGGGTGTTATATTTTCCTGTAAACACACTGTACTCTCCGTGATATCTCAAGGATAGGATGAATATCAATAATCAATACAATTGATATTTGTATGCGACATATATATAATAAAATCTTTTGTAGCAAATTGAATTTTGTAGTTATTAAAACGGGGTTTCGGTTACCGACTCCCTGAATCAAAATGGGTGTATAGGATCAATATGGATTCGTTATCGCATTTTCCCGGCGTGAGTTTTCATTCTCATCTGCCGCCTCGGGTAATGATATCTGTGGCGTTATCTGCTGGGCCAATGGCATCACCGGCTAATTCCTACCAGCATTTCATCACCTGGGGTGTGTACCATTCTATAGCTATCTATGACTATCTTTGGTTCTGTTAGTACTGCCCTACACATAAAGATTGAAATCTGAGTATTTTCAATTTCCCTTCGAAGTGACTGCAGCTACTTCTCTTGCGTGTCTTCATGAAACACGTTCGCGCCCGCACCCAAGAGCTCTCTGAGGCGCCGCACGTCCTCTTCGCCATACAGGTGCATCACGCTGCTGGAGCGCACACTTACGAGGTCGAACATGTCCCGGGCGCTGCGAAGCCCTCCCACTGGACTGCTGTTGATGCTGTCGCACAGGAGCTTCGTGATAGAATGCCCGACAGCTTCTGCGTTGCTGCGACCGTGCCCAGGGTCGAGGAAGATCCACTCGGTTTGAATTTCACACCTGCGGGTATACTCGCGCACACAGGAGGTGTGGGTCTGTGGGTCCGTGATAAAGGTAATGCTCCTTATCCCTTGCTTGATCATTTTCTCCAAGACTTGCTCGAGACTCGCGCACACGGCGGCCGCTGTTCGATCTCTGGCGTCGGACATGGCGGCAAATCCTGTGGTTTCCTCCTTGGACCACAAAAACCCGCACTGCATGTTCACCACACCTTGGGGCTCCGCCGGCCCGCCCGTGCCGACGGGATGGAACAGAATCATCGGCGCCCAGCCGCTTTGTACAACTGCATGATGCGGCGAGGCATTCGCTTCACACTTTGCCTTGAACACTTCTTCATACGTCTGACAGGTGCGGTTAAGGTGAACCTTCAGGGCGTGCAACTCGCTCTCTAGCAGGTCAATCATTTCCGCCAGGGAACTCGTGACAGTTCTTTTGTCTTTGTGCACACTGTCACAGGCATTCACGAACCAAGAGTTGTAGGTCAGCTGTGCCTGGCGGGCCCTAAGCATCCCCACTGTTGCCATGAAAGTGTCCCAGGCCTCATCGTTGGAAATTATTTCCTCGACGTCTGTATCGATAGCAAGAAGCCGTCTTTTGATCAAGCTTTCAATCTTCAATTCTGGATTTTGGCAAGTCATGCACACACATACACTCATTTCGTCCGCTTTCAACTTTACAACAGTTTCAGGAATATTCTTGGCGAACGTTTCAAAAGAGCACGCCCTGCAGCAGTCGGCCAGGAAACGTTTGTGGAGCACCTGGAGGAAGTGGAGGCGGGCCCGCAGGAAGCCCTTCTCGCCTGACCCCGCCCCTTCGCGGCACGGCTGCGACACGTCCTCCTGCACCATGAAGTCGTGAATCATCTTTGCTAGACCATCTTGACTGGCCGAGCTTGACGGCCCCTCGCCTTTCTGGCCTGAATCTCTCTCCTCTTCTAAGTCTGTCTTACTTTCTTCCGCTTTTTTTAGTGTTCCCCCTTCTGCAGACTCCTGCACCTGAGGCTGGCATTTCCCTCCAGCAAGAGAGTGATCTGCTCCTTTCACTCCTTTCTTTTTGCTGCTGACCGTCTTAAGTAACTTTTTCCTTAATAGCTCATTCTTCTTTCTTTCTTCTTGAAGTTCCTGCTCTAGGCATCTGATTCTGATTCCCTGACTCACGATCTTCTGCTTCAAACAGCTCATTTCTAGCACTCTTCGCTTCTGCAGCTGCAATGTGCGGAAGGACCTGAAGTTCCTCTTATAATAGTCAGGAACTAATCCCTGAGAAAAATGGCCGTTGGAGAGTTTGTTCCATTTCCTTTTAAAGCCTCTTTGGGCTTTTGCTGCCCACGCCTGTGCCCTGCCCTCCTGCTCCTGCAGATTAGAGAAACAACAACGACAATGAGGTGGCTCTGACATCGGAAGACAAGATATTCAAAGGCATCGCTGCTACTTATTACATTACACAAATTTCTTTTTTTTCTTGTTGAGATATGATAAAAAGTACTTTATATTATGGTGGAATTTCAGCTATTTCCTAAACAAAATCAAATGACTTTAACAATGCAGATGCTTTTATTTTGATAGTCTTCTTTAAAAATGTTCATAGTGTTTAATGGCTATTATTCCTTTTGCTTGGAAAACATTATCAAAGTCTGGAGAAATAACTGCACTTCTCTGTAAACTGAATTCTCTAAAGGCAGAGATCTAAAATGACTGTCTAGTTTTCCATTTTTGTTGGTGTAGTTTAACTGTGTCAACTATGTTTTTACAATTCATAGGAAAAATAAATCCTGTATAATAAAACAAACATTTCTTTGCATTAATTGGCCCTAATATTTTTAAGAATTAATGGTGTCAATTTGTTACACTTCAGAATCTAGTACAAACATTACCATTCCATATTACAGCTAAATGTAGTCCTGATCCCAAAACTGTACCCTGAACTTTTTAATCTTTTCACATTAATCCACAATTCTCTTATTGAAATTTACACTGACATATTGCAGAATGAATATGACCAAGTCTAACACTGACCATTAAAAATATATATCCTTATTATAACAATCATAATAATAAAAATAACAATAATATTAACAGCAATAATATAACATCAAACTAAAAGCTTCACTAATATTGGTGTGACTTCTTTTACATATATTATGATTAGATGTACATAACATGAGCGCAATAATGGAAATGAAAAACAAGGTATAACATATAAAAAAATAAATTATATAAAAGTATATCTACATAAATGCAAAAATCAAGACTATTATCTGACATTTTTATTGTAGAAAATAAAATTCTAGCTATTGGTGTTTACTTACTGTTTGGTGGTGTTTTTCCGATGGCTCCACTTGTTCCTTGCTGAGCTGCTGGCTGCCCGTCTGGTCTTCATCTGCCGAAACGTTCCTCTGGCATACACCACCGCTTCTTTGGGAAAGTTCAGCAACTAATACTGCACTTTGTTTAACCTCTGAGATAGTGTTGGAAGATGGTTCTTGGAAAAGTGAGTTACTAACAGCATCTTGCATTTGGGGCTCTTGGTATATAATACTGCTATCATGTACTTCATTTATATGCGACTGTTCACTACTTGTGCATGAAGTGGCCACTGGTTGGTACTGAATAAGGAATTCATTAGCAGAAGAATCATTAATGTTGCCTTGTGGTTCATCCATTATGCTAGTATCCTTGGTAGAGGAATCTTCTGAATACTGTAACAACTGAGTACCTGGAACACCATCATTCACCATCATATAACTTACTTGCTTCAATGAGTCATTAACAGAACTAACACCTGCAAGATTTGATACATTGAGTAGCTGTGTTTCTTCAGCAATTTCCTCATTCTTAGATATTCTTATAGAATCTTCCTGATGGTAAATAACGTCGCTCTGCTGGGACAGATCACTAGCTTTTTCTGGTAAGAAGTTACTTTCAGCAACAGGATCACTGTCATGGGAAGTGATAATAGTCTCTTTTATGCTTTCATTATTGGAATATTGTAACTCATACAGTCTTATGGAATTATCTTCCAGATTAGAATCTTTCCAACCCTCTTGTATCATATCTAGAGTTTTTGTTGAAGCAGCTACTTTTTCTTGCTCATGTGCAGATGTATCTACTGACTCTAATGATGAATAGCTACTTTCCTGAAGGCCTGTTATTTCTTCAGTACCCATACTTGAATCATCACACAAGTCTTTAAAAGTCAGACCATACACATGAGTAGTCTGAGACCTAGCACTTCCAACCAGGTTTGGACAAGTGTTTACTAAATCAGAACTTACTTTTGTAGGTAAAGCATTGCTGTTAATCTTTCTGTAAACTTCTTGATTTTGTTCCAACGATTCTAAAAAGTCAAAGTTAGCTTTTCCGTTTGTTTCAAAAGAGAGAGCAATATGTGATGAGCCATCTGATTTTAATAAGTGACATGGAGCAGCATTCTCAACACTGCATTTTACAAGAAGTTTCTGCTGTTCAGGTAATGATAAACAGTTGTCATAACTGAAGGCAGCATGTTCCTGCTGTGAGGGAGAAAGTTTCTTTGGTGAATCAATTGTGGTAGCTTGAGGTACTGGAATACACTCCTGTGTCATATTAGAAGTTGCTGAGCCTACATGAGGCACAAAAACAGTTACGCTTTTTTCAATAGCAGCAGACTTCATAATTTCCTGAGTCATTATCTTAGTAGGGACCAGTGCTGATGCTTGATGTAATGGTGTACTATCATTTGCTGTTGGCAAAATAGGACGAGGTAGAATTTTTCGTTTTGGCTTTGTACAGCAGACAGCTTTGCTTCTTCTAGTGAGACATCTTTTTTTATGAACCACCTGATGAGATGTTGGATTTGGTATTCCTTTGCTGATTGCTGGTAATGGCAACTTCAAATTTGAACCAACCTGAGCCACTGATTTCATTTGAAGTGAGAGACCCTGAGTAGATGATATATTAGTTGCAGTTTCTTCAGGCATGAGTTTGGGGGCAACAGGCTGAAACTTCTGAGAAGACATCAACTTGTTTGACACAGAGGTACTGACAGTCTTAATTTGCTGAATGGGAATGCCTTGATGACTGGCATCTGGGGTAACACTTTGAACATGATGCAGCTGAAGAAGATGATGAGTTCCTGATGATGTCACAGGACAAACTGGCTGTAGTGAAAGTTTGGTTTGTTTCGACTGTGTCACAGACTGAATTTGCTGGAAGTTCAAATTCCTCTTCCCACTGTTGTGGACATTTGAAGAAAGCTGTTGGATAGGTACTGATTGTTGGGGAACTGCATTTGGATTCAGCTGAATTTGTTGAAGGGGCAGCTGCTGCTGACTAGATTGGAGTTGTACAGGAAGTGAAGAGCATGTGTTAATTGTACTGACAGGATGTACTGTTTGTATTGGAATTTTGTGCTGCTTTGAAGCAGAAAGAATACACTGCCCCTGAACAGGCACTGCTTGTGTAGTGATTGTTGTGATATTCCTCAACTCCTGATGAGGCACAGCCGATCGTGTAGAAGGATGTATGCTACGCACCTGCTGTACTGGCAGATCTTGTCCTGCACTTCCAGGACTAATGGCCTGAAGAGACTGTACAGATAGTTGCTGCTGTACAGCTGCAGTGGGAACAGGCTTAACTGATATAGATGTTTGCATGTTTGCAGGTGCAAGTTTTGGAAGTGATGGCATTAAATTTGAGATGTTTGGTAGAGGCTGAAGTGGCACAGCATGATGAGCACTTGCTGAAGGCAAGGCTTGTAATGGTTGAAGTGAATTAGTTGTCACAACTTCCTGGAGAGACTGCAGGGGCAAAGACTGATGCATACTTACAGCTGGAATGCTCTGTAACTGTTGTATTGGAACAGACTGGGTTGAATTTTCAAATGTTACATTTGGTAGCTGCTGCAAAGGCAAAGCCTGCTGTGAACTTACAGTTGGAATGTTTTGTAACTGCTGAACTGGAAGAGCTTGCTGAACACTGACGGGTGGAATGCCCTGAAGAGACTGAATTGATGTTGGACTTTGGTGAATGTTGGCTGAATTTATGTTCTGAAACTGCTGATTTGGAACATTCTGTGATGTTGAAACAGGATTAATAGACTGTACTTGCTGAAGAGCAGACACTGACTGTATCTGCTGTGAAGGAATATATGCCCCTTGATTACAGGTGGTCTGCTGAGGTCGTGGCAACAGTTTTCTTCCAGGTGCAAGAGCCTTTTTCAGATGCATGCATCCATTTTTGGTTGGCTTCCCAGGAAGTACTGTCTGCACATTTGAAGCACAAGTGGAAGTGAATTCTGGTACTGCTGCCTGACTCTTCACTTGAGTTGGCACATGGGCAGCACTCTGTATGGGTAATGTTCGAGAAACATTTACAGTAGTGGGATTCACAGCTAATACATTGCAAGTGTTACCTGAAGCAATAGGCTGTGGCTTATTCAGTGAAATTGAATGTTGAATATTTGTCTTGTTAGGTTGCAACTGTCCTATATTTTTTGGGAAAAGTGGTCGTGGTAATATTTTTCGCCCTCTGGAATTGCTTGACTGCGATTTCAATGGTGACATATTTTTGACAGTCAAACTGTGTTGCTTCTTTGGTTCTGCTTTTTGTGCTTGATGCTGAGCAACAACCTGTACTTGTGTGACAGGGAGAGGATTTGCACTAAAATTCAAATTCTGAATCTGTATTTGTGGCCTTGGTAGGATCTTTCTCTTAGTTCCCACAAGGGGCTGATCAGACTTCTGCACTTTGAAGATTTGTTTTCGCTGACCTGAGCCACGCAATGACTTCTGGGGATCATCACACAGTCCAACATCTGCCACAATTCTTTCTCCTTCTTGCTTGAGCTGGAAAACACATGGCATTTGTTAACCCATTATCACCATGTACATGAACTGTCCACTATAGTTTTGCTTCGTGAATTTTGTTTACACAAAGATGGCTCAGCAAGCAATCAGTCACCAAGGAGTCAATTAGTAGGCCTGATTTCACAGTCTCTTAAATTTTCAGGATTTTTATTTTATTCTAATGCTGTTAATACAAATACTATTATTATTTTTGACATTGTGATTATCATAATGCCATTAGAATATTAATAGCAACACAAAGCAAGAAAAAAACAGGTGAAATGGGGATTAGGAACTGACTCTTTAGTGACTACTTCTGTGGAGCCAGATTTGGGTAAAAGCAATAAAAAAAAAAATTCTCAGTGGCTTGTCTGCACATGCCATCCCCAACAGTAATGGTTAATGTAGCAATATTAGAACTACATGAAGAAAAAGAAGAAGATAAAAACAAGTGAAATTTGTTACAGAAGTAAGCATTATAAAATCACCATAGTAGTAACCAAGTAGTGTTTATGAGAATACAAAAGTCTTTCATGGCTAATATTATTCATCTTATACCAACTCAAAAGGAGTCAACCAGGTTCATAAAGCTATGGAGAAACAGACTTTCTATTGCAAATCATATTGTCTCAACTGTAAACTGTAAGGGTATCAAATTTCTAGCAGTTATAAGCATGACAACTCAATTAATACATAATTATTACAAAAGACTTGCTATTTTCTGGCATATATGTGCCAGATAAGTTTGTCTGCAGAAGCTTTATGATATCTAAAGTTGGGAGTGATAAAAGAGGTTTCAGAAGCATTTAGTATGTTTAAATACACATTGGTGTTCAGAGAAAATATCCATTTAAAATTCACTTGAGAAAGTGAAGAAGGTAGAGTGGTAAAATTCTATGAGGGTA